CTCTTCCATGGAAGCTTTTAATTTCCCTGCAAGATTTGACCTTGATATGTGGCTCACACAGTCCCAAGTAACTGTTTTGCTACCACTTATTAACAGCAGAGATCCAGTCTTTACAGTTGAGGGAGAAATAGCAGACCAGAAGCAGCATTTTAACCTGCCCACTAAAAAGAAAAAAATACTGTACATTTATCTAGATGATCACTTAGCTTTTCTTAATAAATACTATTTCACTAAACAAAAAAACATAAATTCACCTTAGCAGCTTGAGATTCCCTTAGGTAATATTTCAGAAGATCAGAAAGTTTAAGATCTTCATCAGCAGATACCCGGGCCTCTATTTTCTGGAAAAACAGTAAGTAAAAGCATCAATTTTAAAACTTCCAGACTTCAGGTATTCATTTGTGCAATGTAAGTACAGTATAAAATATGCAACAGTGCATAACAAATTGTCCTTTTCAAAAATTAAGGTCATGCACTTGTGACAGAATACTTAAAGATGTATCATGAGAAACAGTATTAGTCTTTTGTATTAAAATATAAGCGATGACCCACTGTGGAAACAGTAAATGATAACTAGCTTTCTATTTTAAACAAAGCTTTCTTCCCATTTTCATTCATATGCATCACGTACTAGAAAACCTGCAGAGAAATAAAAATTTATCTAGTATAAGAGTCACACAAGTAGTTTTGTGTTGTTTGTGAGATCAAAGGAAAACATATTTTTCTTTAAGATCTCTTTGGATCTTAGTTGTGTAATTGCACTGTATTAAATGGTCCCAAATATTTTCTCTCAAGAAACTTATTTGCTTGTATTTAAAGCAGCCATTTTATAAACAGTCTGCACATTCTTAAATAAAAAAAAAAAAAACACAAAAAAACCCACTCTAAAAGGCAACGTTCCAGGTCAAAACAAGTAATTTCACTTATTTCATTTTCTTTAAAGTACATATTTATCTGGGTACAACTGTTCATGGTTAGGAAACGTTCACATACTTAATTCAAATTTTTTCCTAATACGCGGCATGCATCTCTGTTCTACTAAGCCAAAAGAATAAGGCAAAAAGACAAAATACTAGAGAATCTGGTGAGAAGCATGATCAGTAGTCTTGCTGAGTCAGTTAATTGAGTCAATTGATCAACAAATCTTAGCTTTGAATAAGTAGCACGCCCACCACTTTTTGGTTTAAGAATTACATTTCATTTTTGCAGAACAAGTTCTGTGATACCCAACATCGAGTACAGAAGGACTCTTAAGCATTTTAGAGTAACAACGCCTTTACTAGTAAACTGCACAGAAGACATGCAGCCTGTCTAGAAGAGTTTCGTAGACTGAGTACTCCTAAAGATCCATCATTTACAAAATAGAGGATTAGGTTCCTATGGCTTTTCATTCCCTAACACCCACTGCTTAAACACTCGATATAGAAGCATCCTTAAAACAGCCATATATTAATGTCTAATTGACACAAGATCAAAGCACTTCCAGGATGTACACAAAAAACATATCTAAGAAGGTTTCATAATACATACCCTTGTTTTGTCAAATAATTCTGATACCTTCAGAAAAAATCTGCATGAAGAAAACATCAGCTTTAATGGGATTGTCTACATTACAACATAAATTTGAACACTATTTTTTAGAACTCAAACTATAGTCTGTGGCTGGCAATAAAGGCTGTAAAGGCATTGTTTAAAACTATAATTTACAGAACCCTGAGAACATAACAGATCCAAATTGTAGCGCTTCAGAAATTTGTGACTTGTGCAATTTAAGAAAAGGTACGGGACAAACAGAGCATAGTGGATGGTATTTACTAAAGAATAATTGAATAGCTCCTTGGGGACTCTTTATGCTTGCATAAATTAAACCCTGAACGAGTCCTATATATTACCAAGCGTCCTTCACTGAAGTTTCAATATACTTTTCTCCACACAGTAAACATGACACATGCCCTACTTGGAATTATGGAATTCGGGGAGACTGAGCAGCAACACGGCACATCACGGGAGACAATACAGGGGATATAAGGTTCAATATATCAGCAGACTGAATTACAGTAAAAATCATTTTAATTTGACACAAAGTAAACATGATATCTGACTCAGACTCCAACACACTATATCACATCTTGATACTATGCATCAGAGTAACTGATATGTAAACTATCACAACACATGGAAGTATATGACGATAATTCACGTAGATTGACAAAAACAGGTTAACTTTCACATACGTCTCCTACCTCTTGTAACACTAATTATAGACGTTCACCAGCATCAACTAACATTTTTAAGCTAGTTAAGTTTCACTTTCAGATACTGCAAACAGTTCACGTTCAAGCTGAAAGAGTAACAGACGAACGCCTATACACAGACATCCTTTGTACTTTCAAAGCTTTTGGAATCTCA